TAAAATTATCTTTATCATTCCATTCTCAAACAGATGGACAAACGAAGTGTGTAAATCAAGTTTTGAAGTGGTATTTAAGATGTACCATCAACTACCAACAAGATGATTGAGCAACTCTTTTGCCATTGGCAGAGTTTGCTTAGAATAACATAATATATTCTTCTACAAAACAAACACCTTTCTTTACCAATTATGGTTATCATCCATGACTTGATACTTTTGACTTTTCAAAAGTTGATAATCCTGCAACAAAAGATTTGGCAATTCATTTGTCAGAGCTATATGCAATGATGAAGGCATAGTTAAAAGAAGCTCAAGAATCAAAGATCAATACGGATGTCTGTCGAAAGGAACAATCTCCATTCCACATGGGTGACAAGGTATGGTTACTTTGTTGTAATAGTAAGACCACTCGTTCTTATGATAAGTTGGACTATTGAAGGCTTAGACCATTTTTTATTTCTACACAAATCAATCCAGTTGCATATTATTTACACTTATAGGAGTCAATGAAAATCCATTCAATATTCCATGTATCTCTTCTTGAACCATATAAGATAGTGGACATACCAAGAAGAAGACAAGCTCTACCTCCTCCTATAGAAGTAGACAATAATAAAGAGTTTAAAGTGAAATAAGTCTTAGATTCAAGGTGGCGTCAAAATAAATTAAAATATCTTGTCCATTGGCGCGGATACAATATTAGTGAATGCACATAGGAGCTAGTAAAAAATCTTGCAAATGCAGCAAAGGTAGTAGAGGCTTTCTATTGAGGACATCCATCAAAATTAAAATAAAAACCTTTTTTATAAAAGAAACAAGATCTAGGCAAGATAACATTCTACTTTTAATTTTTGTTTGTAGTTTCTTTTTAGATGTGACGCTGAGGAGATGGAGAACCAACAACCAACGGATTTGACTCAAGAGCCTTTGTTTATTGACCTAGCAGATGAGACATTACGATTGTTACAACCTTTAAGATGATGCAATAGAGATGAAGATCTTTAAAAATGACATGTTCTTCCTCGAATAGATGGCAAGATACAATGCGTTTGATATCATGACTTTGGAAGGGACTCTCGATGTTTGGTGATTTTACTAGTGGTAAGAATAAGTCTTAACGGTGTTCCAAATATTTTATTTGAAGGAAGTTATGAAGGCCTCAACAACGGTCAAATAACTCGGTGGTCTTCCTACATTGGTATGGGACACTATCGATGGTTGAGAGACCTTATCAATCATCTTCGAAGAGAATAAAGATCAAAGTATCTGGCAAATACAATTTGTTGCATCATAGATTTCTTCAACATATGATGACAGCTCTTTCCTAGAAAGGGGGATAATGTCACGAACATACGCATGTAAGCTAGTAATTACATGTATAAATAGATAGAAGTAAGTAAAAGTAGGTAAAAGTAAGTTAATTCTATAATATTTGCTATAGAAGCTTTTTAGAAGCTTTATAGATGGTATTTTAATTTTATAAGTGTCTTTAATTGACTTTTTGGATTAAAAACGTGGTCAACAAGTTGGCCATGTGCCATACATATTGTTAGTTTGAAGACCAAGCTAATTATGTGGCCCACACGTAGAAAAACTTGCCTTGTAAATCAAGGCATGTATCCTACAAAATCAACACATATTGGAAGTCTTATAGAACATCGCCACTTAGTCCTTAGTTAGATAGTATATATATAGACAAGAGTGAAGCCGTCTTCACTCTTGTCAACTTCCTTCTTGCTTCTAGTCTAGTTTCAAGGGTCTCTAGTTTTCTTGTCTTTTGGCAATAGCCATTTCAGTTTTTTTTTTTAATATACATATTGAGTTATTTCTATTTTATCATCTTTCTTTGAATAAAGTCTCACTTGTTTATTTATTTTCATCAAGTTCTTGTCCTTAACACTCATTGAAATCAATACCAATAACTTGTGAGTAGCCTTTGGCAATCAATCTCATTATTATTATCTTGAATATCTTGATTGTCTTTGTTGCTAATTTTAATAATTATAGACATATTTTGATCTACTTTCTTTAGCTTTTCATCTTCACTCACATCTTTATCATCTTCATCCTCTTCTTTTTTACTAGAATTAAAGATGTATCCACAAACATACCATTATTCTTACTTAGACACATCTCCAAATCCTCACAAGCATTTTTATGCTCCAAAAATCCTACATAATGAATCTTGATAATCTTCTTGCTTTTTAAATACATAAGCATATATTTTTTGATTTTTTTTTGCATCAATTATAAAAAGGTTAATAGAATCATTGATATGAATGAACTTATAGGATACCTATTCCTTGTGTAAACTACTAAAACCATGGCTTCCTCCCAATATTCATGCCTAAGGTTTTGTACTTGAAGTATATTCCTTGCCATCTTGAAAATAGTACAATTTGCTCTTTCAAAAACTCTATCTTTATTATGAAGTTTAAAGAATAGAGGTTTGTTTAGCAATGCCTTGAATCTTTAAAAAATCATCAAAATGATTCGACATATATTTACTTCTATTGTCTATGCTTAATAATTTGATCTTATACTCACATTGCTTTTTCACAAGCACCTTAAACTGCTTAAATCTTGAGATTTTTTTTTTTTTTTTTTTTTTCGGTTTTAAGGATGTAAATCTATACCTTTCTTGAAAAATCATCAATAAATGTAATAAAGTATCTTTTTCTTCCAATTAATAGCATCTTCATTGGTCTATAAATATCAAAATATATAATTTCTAGTAATTTGTTAGTATGTGTTATAACTCCTCTTGGAAATAGAACCTTTTATTGTTTGTCTTGGATACAACATTCATAAGGAAGTATCATAGAATTGTGGCTAAATTAACCAAGATTCAAGCAACTTACAATGAATTGAAGTTCGTTCATGCTTTGAACATTCAAATGACTGAGTCATTGATATCAAATTCTAAACTTCTCTTGAATTTGTAGAAAGGCTGCAAATGCTGCCACTTCAACTCTATTCACCTTCTTACAATTGATAAAAGAAAGGTTGCCATCTTTTAGGCCTTTGGCAATATGTTGTCTATCCAATGTCTTCACAAAACACCCATATATATCAAATTAAATCTTATAACCATGTGATACAAGTTTGTTCATCAAGAAAAGGTTCTTCTTCATCTTTGGCACATGTAAGACTTTCTTCAATGTGATTCTCTTCATTTGGTTCTTTAAAATGATCTCTACTACAATAGAGCCAATTTCAATGGCTTGTACTATACCATTGTCCTTCAATTAAATATTTATTACTGAAATTTCTTTATAAATGTCAAATGAATACTTATATAGTATCATATGCTTAGTAGCATCCAAATCTATAATCTACTCGGATATAGCAACCATAGAGGCTCTTTTACTTACTATGAAAGTATAATCATTTCCACAAAAACTAATATTAATATTGTTTGCATTCTCTTTATTTTTTTTTAGCTTTGTAATAATTTCTAATAAAATAATATGATTTTCTATAAATATAGTAATTTTTATGTTACTTTATGAATTATTATATTAATAAAAATAGCTACCTTTGCTTTATCTTGAAAATAGAGCGAAATCATCACTTTAAAGCTCATTTTTTTTCTTTTTGGTTATTTCATGGACAAGTTTTGATGTGATATAATTCATGATAAGCTCCTTCATGTTGTTAGATTCCAATGCAATAATGATGTAGTTGTAAGACTCTAGAAGGTTCATGAGCAATGTCAACATAATGTCCTTATCATCAATTAGCTTATCAACAATTGCTAATTGGTTTGCAAGTACTTTTATCTTGTTGACATGAGCCATGAGGTCATCTCTTTTTTTTTATCTTTATTGTTAAGAACTTCTTCTTTGTCCATGGAATGTTGACAAGGTTTCTACTTTTATAGATGTTATAAAAAGACTTCTATGCTTTTGCTTGTCCATTGCAAGTAATTACATGTGAAAAATTAGCATCATCTAAGTTTCATGCAATCATGCTAAAAGTCTTCCTTTCATGATGTTTGTACTTCTTCTTCACCTTGACATCAACATTGTCACTTGAAGATTCTTTACTTTCATCAACAATGTCCCAAAGGTCCAATCATACCTATCTTATCTACTATAAAAATATACTTTTAGTATATTTTTTATACCTTAAGATCCTTTGTCCATTCATCTATCTTGTCTCTTAGCCTTTTTATATACCAAGAGCCAACTCTTTGACCAATAACAACTTACATAAAATAATATCCTTTATAATGTAACTTATTCTACTTTCATTTTTATTTACTTACTTTAATAATAGCAAGTAACTATCTTTTGTGAATTTCATAATTAATCTAATATATTTAATTTTTAAAAATATTATTATATATTTTATTTTTATTTTAAATTTATTTGGTATATTTGATTACTTGCAAAGTTCCAAAATATATCAAGATTGTGACTAAAGTGATAAAATGCAATGTACATCAAATACCAAATAAATAAATAAATATTTTGGAGTAAAAAATGAAGACTAAAATATAAAGAATTCATGGTCTAAAATTGTTTCAAAAGATTAGACTAACAACATCTTGCAATTTGTAATCCACTACTTACAAAAGTTCTTTATGATTTGGGTGCAATATCAATTAGAAATTTAAATGAAAAAAAAAAAAAAACATGAAAACCAACAGCTATGCATCAGTGAGAAAATAATATATGGGAATTTTTAAAAATTAGAAAAAAAAAAAAAAAAAAAAAAAAAAAAAAGAGTGAGAAAGAGAGAAAGAGAGAAAACAAGCAGAATAGCAAGGATACAAATGCCATGAAAAACTGAGTCAGAAGCATTGACGACGAGGAGACGTGGAGAATGCAAATGCCGAGGCGCCACGGGCACGGTAATAGGGGAACTTTCGTACGTTGTGGCGGGAAGAGGGGGTGACGTGGAGCCTCTGCTTGGGCAGTGTGGGAACAGCGGATGAGGAGGAGGAGATCCCGCTTGTGGCGACGCAGCCATTGCCGCGGTGATGGGTAACTCGTGAATATAAATTCCATTGCCCATTCCTCTGCTTCGTTAGCATCTGAGGAATTTGCGTCTCTTTGTAGCACCTACTTTTGCGTTGGGTGTTTGCTCGTCGCACACTGTACCGCTGCTCCAGATCATCCTTGTCAGAATTTCAGTGGTACCTGCTGTGAGTGAAAGTTTCCAGTTTTGTTGTTCTGTCTGGCGAATCAGCAGCTTAAACTCACTCAGTCACTTTGTGAAAGAATATTGTGCTACTTATATTGTTGCATTCCAGTTTTGTACAAGTTGAATGTGTGATCCTTGAATAAAATCTTCGTTGAAGCTCTGAAGAAGTTGCTTTCTTTAGAGGATTCTTAGGTATTGTCAAAACATGTTAGTCTCTGTGATTGCTGTCCTTTGACATGCGCGTTTTGCGAGTATAATGTAGTCGTGGAAGACGTGGAACTTTGGTCCTTCGGGACGACTTGTGAGTAATCATGAAATAGAGCTTTGAATTTGTCAGGATTAATACTTCGCCACATCGGATTGCACTAAATGAATCCTCAGGTTTATGATGAGTAACCAACTCGCTCTCATCCGGTGGTCTTCTTTTTGTGAATTTTGATTCGTGCGATTCACCACCAAGCCTCAGCAAAGTTACGGGGAGCTGTTTCCAAACCTAGAAAACAAAATCGGAAGACGAGACGCTGTTCGGTGTGTACGAAAGTCGTGAAGCTTTATCATCAGTGTGGCATTGGAAACTGTTATATTTACGATCCAGGTAGGCACATGACTTCCATCCGCCAAGTTACACCCTGCTGCTAATTATGTGACCCTCGACATTCCTCAGTAAGCGTGAAGTTTACCCCTCGTGACCTCATAAAAAAACAGAAAATAACGTAGTCTACATGAAAACTTATGCTCTTGACATGGAAATATCGTCCCATGCCCCTCTCAGCAGCATGAACTCATTGATCACTGACAACTGTATACTGACCTTTTTGAAAGTGCTCGATTTTTTTTTTTTTTTTTTTTTTTTTTTTTTCCTTTTCTGCCTAGCATCAGGCAGCGAAGATGAAGATGCAAAACCGACCAGACTCAGACGTCAGTGTGTAGTATGTAATAATGCGATGAGATCTGGTTAGCTATATGACTCTAGATCTCGAGAATGGATTCCTGGGTGCACCAATTTACTTAGTAATCGACCTGCAAGGTATCCACATTGACTCTCAGGATCATTATTGTTCTCTTTTAGAAAAACCCTAATCAGAATTTTACTCCAAGTGTGTGCTGTGTGCACTATTCAGGAAGACCATATGTCAATTTGTCTCTTGGCGTTGCACACTCATCTCCGCAATATGATCAGGAGTCCTTTGTTACTATATATGCATGTCATGCGCATGTAGTAAATAGTTTGAGAGATCATCGGGCAATTTCCTCATTGCCGTAATTGTCGAATAATTTGGGCAAACGAGTAAAAGACTAGTGGTAGTATGCCTAAATACATCCTAGTTGGAATATCCTGTGCCAGGAGTTAGATTCCCTTGTGCACGAGTGGCCACACGAGCTCTCTATTGATGCGGGTAACAGCCTGCTTCTTTCAGCTCAGGAGCTTGCTAACGATGGGGGATGAAGATCAGCAATGGGTTAAATACAAGGACGATTATCACGAAGGCGTTTGGGCGAAGGATGTTTTAGAAATTCCTTTTCTTGAGGGCTTTTTTAAGAGTTTTGCAGAGGAGAAGCTCAAACAAGGGAAGCCCTGGAAAGCCCTAGATGTGGGATGCGGAATGGGCAAATACACGACAAGGTTACTGCGAGCCGGTGAGGTTACCAGTTACTGGAGCAAGTAAAGCTTTCCGGGTTGTCAAACATCCCTGTTTTGAATGCAATTCTTTGAACTCATTAAAAATAATTACTTACAAACCATACTCATTAGTGGATGGTGGTGATATTGATTGCGCAGGTGCAAGTTACGTGCTAGCAATTGACGTTGCGGCAGAAATGGTCGCAGGTGCAAAGAAAGAAACGGAACAGTTCCTCCTTGCGCAGTGAGTGTACCACCACACTTCCTCTAACGCCATGCACTCCAGGACTTAATAAACAGCAGGCTACGGAGCAGTTCATTTTATACTACTGCACGCTTGTTTTTTTTTTATTTTATTTTTTATTTTTTATCTCTGAACTACGTGGCGAGGAACGAAGTTGTGAAACTCTAGCAGATGTGAGTAAGTTTATCTGATGATGTCTAGTATTGATGTTTTCCCACATCTAGCAGATCAGGAGGACCAGCAGGAATAGGTGAAGCCGAATTCCACGTCTGCTCTGCAGCGCATTTGACCAGTATTCCGAGAATCGAGGAGACGACGTTTGACTTGGCGATTTGCATATACCTCTTCTGCAATCTCGTATCCAAAGAAGATGTATCTGTTCCTTCCACGACCACATAATCTGTAGCAGCATCTTAGTCTTGACAGAGCTTTCATTCTTTCGGGAGACTACCCGCATATTTCAGTTGAATTTGATTATAGCTTGTGCCTACAGGTCAAGCAGGCGCTTGGCGAGATCTCTAAGCTGCTCAGGCCTGGTGCGTCGCTCATCGTCTATGAGTTGCATTTCGTGGAATACCTTACTGGAACAGCTCACGAGAGGGGAGATGTTGAATATGTACCGAAAGCAGATGGTACGGGATACAAATATTTCGAAGACGAGGGCAAACCACGAACGGTTAGCATTCAATCTCCCACTTCACCGTGACCTAATTCCCATTTTTCACTAACATGTCTAGATTCTGAAATGTTCCAGATCTTTGCACTCATCGAGACAATCAATACATAAAATAACTCAAAGAATGAACATGTAGAAAGTTGTTATATCAACAGCGGATCTCTACTCCGCAGTCAGATGCTAACTTCATGTGCTTTATCCGTTGGCAGTTGAGGATTCGCATGAAATCTGGACGTCAAATTGAAATTGTGAACCGGTTCTATACTCTCTCATTTTGGGTCACTGCACTCTCCGAGGCGGGGTTCCAAATAACACAGTTTCACGAACCGCATACAAGTCTTACAGATGTTCCTTCCGATGCACCCAGCTTCATGAGGCACTACGCTGAGCGTCCAACTGCCATGTGTTGGGTGTGCACTAAAGTGTCCCAGTGACAACAGATGTTTGATACGAAGTGGTTCTCTTCATGTAAGAATATGCAATTAGCAGACATGTATTATTGCTACAATGAAGTTCGAGGACTTTTATTTTCATCCATGTGAAGCTGAGAGGGTACTGACTGCATTAATTGCAGCCACACTGCCATCTCCGCCGATTTCTTTGAATAGTGCAACATTCCATTTTAAAAGGTTCAACTTCATAGAGAAACTTCTGACAACCCATTGCATAACTGTCCATAAGCTATTTTTTGGGCCCTGAATTGATGCGGAGATCAAATGAACAATTAGTCAGCTGAAATTATCCCACAAAACCTTAATAGGAAAATGCCGAATTTTATGAACCGCAACTCTACAAGAATCACAAAGAATTAATTTGCGATCCTAAAAAACAGCCACCTCCCAGAAATTGCAGATTTTGATGTTACATATTTATTGTGAACTACGCCAGATTTGTACAGCTTCTCAATTTCCAAATACAGTAATAGATTAAGAAGCATAAAAGCAAGAAATGCGCTGGTGGAAATTTCACAGAGAATGACGAGTTTGTGTTGTCGATGAAAGGAATCATCTTCAGTTCAATACAAAAGCTGCTGGACATCAATGACTCTTCAATTCAAACATTAACCATGAGTTCACTTGGCTTTCTTCCCAACATTTCCTTCACCCCATTCTTCTCCTCTAAAGTCCACAATTACATAAATGCTCCCAGTCGAGACTACCACTCTCAACCACAAAAAGAAGAAAAAAATCAAAATTAAAAACAAATATTAAAGTTTATATATTTGTGAGAACCAGCGAATTGTTTGTACGCCTTCTCTGGAATCCTCCATGGACAATTTACAATTAAATATGTTACTATAAGGAAGTTGACTGGAATTAGAATCACAGAAGTTGAGACAGTGTTAAGGACAGGCACTGTTGTCACACTTACAACCTAAATTTCTTTCTCCAGATTCGAAAGATGGATGTCCGACAGATTGAGAGTGCCGGACTCATCATAATCGATTGCAGAGAATTCTTTCAAGATGCCTTGAACATCATCTTCTACAATCTTGCCCTCCTCCTTGAGCTTGTAGAGCACGAATTCCGCCGCGCTACATCACCATCCATTCTAACCATCAATAACCAACATCGAAGCAGGCCAAGATAGGCCCAATGTAATATAAACAAAACGACTCAGGTCATTAAACTCGAGTTCTGGGAGGTGAAGGTTTGAGAGCTGAGAGTCAACACGGACCTTACATCACCATCTCCATCAAGGTCGGCAGCTTCCAAGTCGGCTGGAGTAGTTGGGCGATGCAGAGCCCAGCATGCAATCTCATGCTGCCGTTCCTCAGTACGACTTTCAGCTAAATACAAAAAAAACTGCGCCAAGCACACAGTGCTTGATAATATCCAAAACACTGCAAAAATACGACCAGCTTGAGAACGGAAACTCTGATCACCATAGCCAAGTGTGGTCACGGTGACACACACAAGATAGAATGCGTCAATGAAGTTCATTCCCTCCCAGTACATCAATGCAAACATCCCTGCTATAAGGTGTACAAATACTGCAACGCCAGCAATGAGCATCTTCCAATGAGCAGCCACCACTCCATCGTCGACCACAATCAGCTCTCTTTGTTCCTTTTTCATATACTTAAAATAGATCTTCTGAACTAAAACTCTCTCTTGCTTCTCAACAAGGTAGTTCGCGGCACCACTCACAAGCGCACCGACTAGACCAAATCCTGCGAAAACAAAGGCGCACGTAAAGAGCTTGGCGCCAATGGTTTTGGGAACCAAGTCCCCATATCCAACAGTCGTCATGGTGACAATGGCGAAGTACAAAGCATCCACATGGGATGATGTCGATGAGCCTTCTAGTTGAATATCAAATAAAGAAAAGCATAACAAGCCCACAAGCAAGTAAATGACTAGCCCAATAATCGCTTTGAAGATGACGGACATCCCCTCCTGCTCCTGCTGAAATTGGGGTGGCGGGGGCAGGGACCTTGCTGCTCGAGTCAGGTGCGTTATTCGTGACTTCTGCGTATCGCTGAGTTTGTAGGCATCCTGAGGAGGTGCACTCCGGACTCGACACAACCTTAGAAACACATACAATGCAGACAAACTTCTTCACTTGTAACTCATGACGAACAAGCAACACTGACGATTCGAAAAGACACTAATTACATTATTGCTGTATCAAATAAACGAAAAGGAAGGTCAGAAGAAATTTGACAAGTTCTTCTAAGACAACGCTTCCTTACGATGCTTTTCCGCGTATTATTTTGGATTGTTTATTTGTGTGAGTGTGTGTCTCTGTCTGTATGTATATGCGTATATATTTACATACACATATACAATTTTCTTTCCTTTATTTTTTGAAATTTCTTTGTACTAATCTTTGCATTGACTGCAGAATAGGGTATAGAATGCAGAGTATAGAAAGTGAATGTGCAGTCTACTCACCTGCCGAATATCTTGCTCCTTGGTGGTTTCGGTACGGGGCTGTAGCCATCAAGGAGGCCCTCCGTTAATGATCCCTGCTCTCTAGGATTCTTCAAGATTGAATTGCCACCAGCGCTAAAGTTGGTGTCCATAATGATAGCTGGAACACAAATCACCAAGCGGGATGTTGAGAAACAATAGATATCAACAATCACAGCAACGTTCAGGCCCAAACACCAGATACAAAGCTTGATCCACTTTGTCAGGCTCTACGGCAGATTCGGACAACTTGCTTCGATTAGGAAGACTTGAAGTATTTGGAAATTCAGAGATGCTACTTAAGAAACAGAGGACACGACTGCAACCTAACAATTAAAACTCCGCGTTTACGGAAGAATTAACAAACTATACACGAGCCCAACGATCGAGAACAAACCACTCACACACTAGGGGAAGCCTCAGAAAAGAAAAGAGATGGATACTTCTTCAGGTGAGGCAGTGTTGAGGAGACGAGAAGAAAGGTTTAAGGCAGCCAACAGAAACGGAGAAAAGGTCGAGGGAGGCACATGCCTGAACTGCCCTAATCGGAGCCTCAACAGAATTAGACCTTGTCCCTCTTCCCTCAAGTTGTGAGAAAACATTAATCCTTTCTGGGGCCGAAGGAACGCGGCCTGAAACCGAGAGTTATCCTCACATATGCATCTGTAACCTGTGGGGCTCCATTCCTAATTCCATAACCATGAGAGCTTCAACTCTGTTAACAAAACCCCGAAGTCGTACCTTTGCAATGAGGTGGAATTCTACGTGTCAAATTCTCCCAAATTTCATCATCAAGTTGAGTAAGTGAATATTCAAATTCTGAAGAGGATTTTTTTATAAGGGCCTTTCACGAACACCGAATTTATTTCGTGATTCGCCACCGATGATAAACCAGGGTTTTCTATTTCAATTGGGCTGGGGGCTTGGACGCCGGAATGAACGATCTCCCCACAGCAGGGTACGAAGTGGGAAGAGGAAGGTGGTAATGACTGGTTTAATACTGGAGGTCCAGGGAAAGAAATTTCTCAAAACCTTCCAGAGTAGAATCCGTGCTCAATGTCAAGAAATATCAGCTTTGACACAATTTCCTTAAGGTCAGGAGTCAGCTTGACAAATAACACAAAAATGGTAAACCGTTTTCACTCGTGGAATTGTATTACTCTTTCCTTTTTCAGGGTGTGCTGAAATTTGTAATTGGTGTAATGAAACATACTTTCAATTTTGGCATTGACTCTTTAATGTAAGCGATGCGGGATTAATCCACCTGCTTTATGAACGCTCTGTGAAGAGCCGTAGGTTTATTAACCCTTTGAAGTCACTGCAAAGCACGCTGAAAGCTCAAAGGTTTGCCATGCAGGGTCCACATTTGCGGTAGCACGAAAGTAAAAAAACACTCTTGGCAGACTGATGTGGTGGAATTGAACAGATGAGGGAAGACGATGAAGAAGGTAAGCACTTTGAACAAGTCGCTTCGTGGTCTTGACTTCAACTAGACCCGGGATTCCCGTGGGTGCATTCCGAAATCTGCGAAACCGCAAACGTGAATGCGTATTGGGGCCCAGTCGCCGCGCTCTCCGAGTCTAGCGGTTTCTAGTTCATTTCCGTGGCGCCCAATTCCTTTGCTTGTCATCGTTGAACGTTGTTTCCGACACTAATCCTTTGGGTCTTGCTCATGCTCCTCTTCCTCCTTTCTCATTAGGGGTTTATCCTACATGCCTTGAGCACCATCACTTGTACTCTCGCCTTTCGCATCATTGGCATCACCACATACCGGCGTTCTTTGTAAGATATCTTCTACTGTCAGTGTGCTTGGTCCACCTGGTATCTTCTTCTACATCCTTGGGAGCGTACATGTGATGGTCTACTTTGTTACTCGTCGTTTTGAGGGTGTCCGTGCGTCCATTATCTGCTGCTTATTTTTGCGAGAGTGCATCTTGTGAGCAATGCAACACTCTTGCATGAGCTGTTTGCTTTAGGGTTAGGTTCTCAGCGGTGATAATGCAGATTCCGTATTACTTGCGTTCTAAATGGAAGTGGAAGAGCTCCCTACCTTGTGGTGTGGGCTGTTACTCCTGGAGCTGCGTAGGCTCTACGCTCAACTGCTTTTTATGATTTGCGGTGCTTTTGGCACGGTGCGTTTCCAGCGATGCAGTTGTCCTATCGTAGAATTTTCATTTTGATGGCATACAGTTATTTTCATTCACAATTTTTGCTTGTGAATGTGGAATGTTTTCCTAAAACCTGTTCTGTTGGAGAGTGCTCACACACTCTCGTGGAGCCTAGGCAAGTCTTTGAGCTGGGAAGATACTGTTATCTTCTCGACAGCCAAATGTTAGAAAGGGAATCGATTTGTTTACAGAGTTGTTGAATCCTCAGACTGCGGAGTGTGAGTCTTGGTGCACGTGATTATGTCTGGATCCACTCATCTCGTTCCTTAATCTTTTATTTAGAGCCTCTACATTCAGTGTTGGCATCATTCAGCAGCATGCTCCTGCAGTGTGTAAGGTCTTACGGAGGTATCTTTTTTGTAGTGCCAAACGCGTGGTCTAAGTGCGGCATGAACTTTGGGACTTTCATTTAATTTGGTCGGCCATGCTATATTAGTGTTGAATGTCACTGTCTTGCTTCTAAGGTTGTGCAAATGAGGCCAAGTTCTTCTATGAATTGAGTGACATAACATCATGTTTGGGCGTTTGTAAACAGGGCCAACAAGGAACGAAATTTAGGTAGTAAGATTCTTCTAAGGTAATTAGTCGTATGAGGGCAGAAGGACGATGGCAACGTGGACAAATTCTACAGCCTTTATTTACTTATTGTTGGTGGTTGCATTTATGACGCTTGTCCTTGTATCACATGACCCTGCAAATCTTCATTCGAGGTCACATAGAAGAACACTTCCTGGTAAACGAATAAAGGTTCGCACGGTGCACCATGACAAGAAGCATCACGATCCTGTGGCGTTTGATCCCATAGTGGCAGAATTTGAAAGACGCAAAGAGGATCGAGCATGGGAGAAACAATACTTCGAGGATCAGTACAAGAAATGGGGAGAGCAAGCGCAAAACAACGAGGGTGTGTTCCACCATGAGGGACTTCGTCGAGGAGAACCTCTAAAGGTCTGTCATCTACTAGGTTTTCATGCGGGTTATCAGGAACATCTTCCAATTTGAGTAAAATGTGTTCTCTGATTCGAGCAGTTTAGACTATTTTTCAGTATGATTGTTATTATCATCACTATTAGCTTTTATTATGAGATCATCCAGATTTGATAGTGACATTGGAGACTGCAGGTTTTGAAGAATAACGAAGTCGACCCTCACGAAGTGGATCCAGATTTTGAAGATCCAGAGGAGTATTTGAATGATGAAGATCAATTTAACATTACCCATCGTCTCGCTGTATTGTTCCCTCTGCTCGACGTAAACCCACGAGATGACTTTGTGAGTCTGATTGAGCTGCAAGAGTGGCATTTAGTACAAGGTAGAAAAGCTATGCAACATCGAAGCGATCGTGAAATGGAGGCTAACGACAAGAATCATGATGGTCTCATATCTTTTGAAGAGTACCTTCCACATTTGACGGAGGAAGAACGAGGTATGCACCGTGGTCTACATTATCTGATGTGGTTCCTTGAAGAATGAATCCAGCGTGCAAGTAGCTCGAATAACAGTAGTGGGGTCTTTTTGATATTTCCAGCAACTAAGACCAGTGGCTGCAGGACAAAACAACACGGAGTTCGGCGAATCTGGATGGTATAAGGAGCAATTTGAAGTATGTGACAGAGACAAAGACGGGCTGCTCAATTCTACCGAGTTTAATGAGTATGTTCATTAATACTTGTAAATTTTTCGATAATATGATTTGTTTGCCATCTCAGCAGATTTATCTTTAACTCAATACTTCACTTACTTATCGCAGCCAGTGTCGTGAATTAGTGTTCGACATGCTAGGGATAGAGGAAGTGGCTACTCTTAGGAACATATTTATTTCAGCAGAAGAAAGTCCGAAGTATTGTGATCTTTTTGTTGCCTTACACGGCAGTGTAGTCAGAACCTCCGAGGCCAGTGGTATCCATTGTATTCGTGTGACTTGTTGTTTAGCCCAAGCCTCTGACCTGAATCATTCTTTATTGATTGCAGCTTTTTACATCCTGACGACAGTAATAACCCTCGCGTGCTTCAATGGTGCCGGATGGAGCAGATAAGGTAATGCCTGTTTACGAGTTTTAGAAGAGTGTCCTATAAACTTATTAGTGCTTGCTTGATTTTGATTGCATTTTGCGAACCTGTTCCAGGACTCATGACACAAACAAAGATGGGAAGATAAACTGGGATGAGTTTCACCATGGAATGTTCGATCACTTGCGGGACGAACATGATACTGAACATCTACACCCAGCCGAACAGCTCGAAGAAAAGAAGCAGGTTCAATCCAAACACTTTTTTTCTGAAATCGACAGAAATAAGGATGGGTGAGTCCGCTTACCAACGCACTTCTAGATTCTTCTTAACCCCTTTGTTGGCTGTTTTGCTATGTTTCTGGTACATTAACCTTAATAACCTGTTTCACATTGGATTCCTTATCTTTTTTTTCTTTTTTTTTTTTTTTTTTCGCAGCATTTTTTTTTTTTTATAAAAATATGTTAGGAATTATTCTCTACTTGCAATGCTAGCATCCCTTGCTAGATTGGTAGTTTTGTCGGATTGTTGATCATATTTGTAGCCTTTGCAGTTTCACCTTGCCATGAATTTCTTTGTATATGAGCTCGTATACAAAGAAACGTTTCGCCAGCGATCCGGTATTGCATATGGTTTAAGAGATACTTCATTGTTTTGTTATGTTTTCTTAACTGGTTTCTTCTGTTTTGATTGGCTTAAGGTATTTGACTGAAGACGAGATTGCCCCTCTCATGGAGAAACTCAGACCAGGGGAATTGTATTATGCAAAGCAGCAATCCGAGTACCTATTGCAGGAGGTTTGCCTTCTGTATTATATTACGTCTCTTTTGTCTTTCTATATGCTCATGTGGAAGCTCATTGGAGTTGCTTGTGCGCCTGACTAACGTGGAAGAATACTTTGCATAGAAGTTATAATATTTTTTTGTTTTGTCAGTTCATTCTCTAACTTCAACAGATTAAACCCTAATATCGATTTTTGAGAAGGGATTCAAGAAGACTATTCTCCAGAGCATATTTTGGGCTGCAAATTCCAGGATTGGTAGATCGGTAATCATAAGTAAGATGCTCGGTTTCTTATTATGATCGTTGTAATGCTTTGTTCAGGCCGATGAAAACAGGGATGGGCGATTGACACTAGATGAGATGCTGAACCATCCGTACATTTTTTACAGCACAGCATATGATGAAGACGAGTTCGATTACTCAACACACGATGAATTTCGATAGTTTTTCTTCTTCCTTTTTTATTTTTTTTCTTTTTCTCGAGGTAGTTTCTTCCTTGTGTCAAATGTGTTGCTTAAGGTCAATTCAATTGTTTATGCGCTCTATTATCTTTTCTGGCCCTGAAGAAGTTCTTGCACAGATGTCGAAGCAGTTTTGAGTAACTGAAAATTTCTGTCCACTGTTTTTGACAGGTGCAGTTCAAGACAAATTATGTTTTGCACTTTGGTGGTCATGTGCTGTCTGAGGTCTGAGGACAACTTCCAAATATTGGATCCACGGAATTAATCAGAACTTTGAACACTTATTGCCGTAGAAGTAGAAATCTGGGGCTTGGAAATAGCAATAGAGATTTGTAATCTTATAGCCGGTCCCACTCGCAGCTTTTTAGATTATGGTCCTCATTCTGTGATGACTGGTGATGGAGTTAAATCAAATTTTAGGACTGCATCTATTGGAGCTTCTGCCAGTATTGTCCTGCTCGATTCAATACTATTTTTTTCAAGTATATCGAGCTCTGTTTGTTTTACTGCCTGTGCCCTTGCCGATCTTCACACACTCTGAACCAATTGCAACACATACACCAATTAGATAAATCCAGCAACATCCTTGGACCATATGAACTGGTAGCGTTTGTTGTTAGAAAAAAAAAATATGTATTGTGTTGGAGAAGTGTGAAGCAGCTGGAGTGTAATGGTATGAATTTTTCATATGCTTAGTGAAGTAACGTTTTACGTCCAAATGTACACTTGTTCACTAATGCATTTGTAGTAGATAAATGGCTCTTTTATGATTATGCTTCAATGTGTATATTTTGAATGGGGTCTCAGTTGATATATTCTTAAATTTTACAGGTTTCTACAGGTTTGCAAGCTGTTCTGTAAGGAAAAATAAACTTTGAATGATCTATTTTATAGTGTCATTTACTAATTTTTTAATGTTGTGAGAAACCCAAATTAATAAAGTTAAAAATGTACCTCATTGTGATCAGGATTTTCTTGCTTGCAATCCTTCGACGATAGATGCTGAATTTTGGAGAAATCGGTTACCTTTTCCTCAATTTTTTTTTGATAGTGAGGATCATGACTTTTCATCCACCGAGGAAACAGATGAATAGAACTCTTGGGTTGCTATTAGTGGAAAACCATCATCCACTTCAAGGAAAGAACAATTAGAAGAGAAAGTCAACAAAACAGGATGACTCGAAGTTTATGTGTTTAGGAAAATGGAACAATTACAGCATCACCGCAATTTCACATTGCCACTAGTGGGCGCGAAAGTAGTATCAAAACGACCTTCTTTCGAAACTTTGATGAATTACCCAACAAATCTGTTTTGATGCACATTTATATTCATTTATTATTCATCGTGCCAATACACACTGGTTCTCTGTGGTCATCGCTTCCTTCCTTTGCGACTCTCCTCCTCCCTCTGCCCTTCACCTTGTTGCAATGTCGACTGCGTCGTGATCATCGCCGTCCTTGTCTTTGTTTGCTTCCATGGCGCCTGCTCTCTCTTCCTCCGTTTTTTGCTTCCTCCCTCTCTTCCTCACTTTTTACTGCTCCCTCGTCCTCTCTGCGTCTGAGCGCCGCGCTGTTGCCCATGATGACAACATGAAGGAACACGTTCAGAGCAACAAATTTTTAGCCAACGAAGCATCCGATGATTCTCTCGGCTTCCCTACTCTGTAATTTCCCACCTTTGTTCCCTTCATCTCCCTGTCCACAGCCAGCTCAATCCTATGTTCTCAACCACAGTGAGGGTATTACTGACGTAGCATTGGTAGTAGCGTGGATTTTATTAGGGTTTTGCACTGCTGGTCGATCGCAACTGTGCTAGTGTTGTTTGATTGAACGTGAATTCTGTCTTGATAATTGGTTAGATGAGCTTCCAGTACGGCAGCAATCATAGCTAACGGAAACTGAACAGTGCTTGGTCTCTCTCTGAACTTGGTTGGAAAATTCGGGGTTTGGGTTTCAGAAATGCGGAAGCTCTAGCGAATACGCGCTGCCCGAAGCAGGTCGAGTTGCGATGGCAGACGGAGGTCAGCTCCAGCATTTACGCCACTCCTCTTATCACCGATCTCAACACGTATTTACCCTAACACTTCCATACCTCATGGGTCTTTTAATGCGTCTATATCCCAATTTAAGGTCTTTACCAATTGAGATGCTAGATATGATCACGTTAAAAAAAATGTTTCTGATTGTCGTCTTACCAAACTATATTAATTCTAGCTTCAGAGGCGCTCCTTTTTAATTATCAAGATATGATGAACATCATCCAGTAAGTTGCATCATCCTCACCAGAATTACCGCCCTTGTGCATATTCTAAATGACACTACAATGTTCTGATACATGTATTTTTAGGCACGACCGAGAACATTGAAGTAGATGGCTAATATACCTTGCTCCCATCTTGCGCCATCTACTCCCTCGCCCCCAAATAAAACCAATTCTTCAAAAAAGCTGACTACTGCATTTTGTCGAACGCTTATTGCAGAGATGGCAAACTGGAAATTGTTGTTCCTTCCTTTGTACATTACCTGGAAGTTTTAGAAGGCTCTGATGGAGAAAAGCTGCCAGGTGACTCCTCTCCCCATTCCACTCTCATTGCGTTAAATGCCGAAGTATACTACTCTTGTGTAGATTTATTCCAAATTGATGACTAATCAATGGTAACCGCAATAGTTTAAAGTAGATGCTCACGACCACCCTCTATGTTGTGAAGACATGCTTTTGAATAGCTTATGTTTGTAGACGCCACGTTTGGGTATCCTTGTTTGCAACTCCACAAGGTGCTATACATTTAGTGACAGTTGTGGCACATGGAAAACAAAAGTGAGATATGTGATCAATGGACTATGTTGGTAATGCAAATGCAGGTTGGCCTGCGTCTCATCAGTCAACCGTGCATTCAAGTGCTTTAATGTATGATATTGACAAGGATGGAATACGAGAAGTTGCCCTGGCGACATTCAATGGCGAAGTTCTATTTTTCCGGTACATCCAGCTCCTTCACTCAGTACTTGATTACGGTACCTTGGATACATCCTTCATACAACACTGACATGTTTTCAGCTTTGAGCAATCGTAAGAAATGACAAAAAGCCCGAGTAATAATATTATTAAGATTGAGAGATTGGATTATTATCAAGAACTGGCATTTTTGTAGCTTTAACCTTGAAGAATAGCAGTTTGTGCATGCCAAATGTATAGCAACCTCGACCTCGGAGTTTTGGACTTAATAGTTAACTACCATAGGAGATTGCACTTGGGCTAGTCCGGCACTTGCTTCGGATCAATTCCGCATTTTCGTTGCACTCTTATTTATATCGTGGAATACTTTAGAATCTTGTGTATTATTGCTGATCATGTTTAGTACGGGTGGTATAGATGATCTCGGCTTTTGGGCTCACTGTTTGTCTCTTTCAGAACTGACTTTGGAGGTTTGCAGGCCTTCAGGGTTTCTTATGGGTGAAAAATTAGTTGTGCCGAGAAGGAGGGTTCGAAAAGACTGGTATGTGGGTCTCAGCCCCGACCACGCAGATCGGTCGAAGAATGACGTTCACGATGATTCTCTTATCGACTTAAACACGATAGCTCCTCTCAACAACACGTATTCAATACATGGTGATTTATATATTTTTTTTCCTTTTTTGGGAAAATAATTTGTAGAACTCTTGTTGTTTCAGAATTTGTATCCTAACCGATTAGAATATCTGCTGTTGGCGTGCCAAAGCTGATACCCTTATCATTTCCCTTAGCGGATGTACCAAAGCTCATTAAACATCTTCTTCTTTGTATAATATTTTCTTGTCTGTTTGATATTTGCCGGACGTTTCAGTTCATGGTTTGGAATTTTTCTTGCTAGTAAGTTCCGTATTTACATATTATATTTTGATGCAATAGTACCTTAGATTGACCTAGTTTCCATCTTTTTGATTGTTCAAATGAGTGAGGCTATTGCCCTGCGACGTTTGAATAGAAATGTTCTTTTCGATGCTGTAGTATTACATACAAAATGAGGTTCTGCCTTACGCTTTTTTTCCCAGGGAAGATACACTTTTTCCCACTATTTCCTCCTGTTCTGGAATTATGTGCTGCAGTTCGTTTAGGGAGCATTTTTTCGCTGACGATATGATGTGGGTGCAGGTACTAATGCTTCACTAGCTGGAAACAATACATTGCAGCAATCTGGACCAGCACCTGCCGTGAGTACAGGATCGCATGCGTCCAGTCAGAATGTGACAAAGCGGCGACTTCTAGAAGAGCCGGAAAAAGAAGCCACAGTAGAGAATGATGACAGTAATGTACTTGAAGACGATGCAGATTCCTCTTTCGATGTTTTCCGAAACGCGGAAGAAATCGCAGAAGATCATGGTGATCAAGGACTCCTGGATCATGATACATATGACTATGATGACTATGTGGATGAGTCTATGTGGTCTGATGACTCTTGGTCGGAAGCGCAACATCTCAAGGAGGCTGATTTTATCGACATTGACGCGCACATTCTTTGCACCCCCGTAAGATAATCTGCTTAACTATGCACCTGTGTGACTATGTTTGGTGTTTCATGGGATTTGTTGGATTTTTTTTAGTCAATGTTTCGTTTATGAAAACACTAGCATAACCATTTAGTTTCATCCTTATTTAAAATTTGGATTAGTACTCTAGGTTTGAAGTCCTATTAGCTGATGCGCATGTCTCGTCGTCTTGAACCGATTTGTGCGTATTCAGAGGTTATATCCAATTCATCGTGGTTATTTTTTTGGTCATGGCTTTGCTTGTGCAGGTTATAGCTGACATTGACAAAGATGGAGTGGATGAGTTGATTGTCGCTGCTTCTTACTTCTTTGATCGTGAGTAAGAACTCTCCTCCTTTTCTTCCTCCACGTGAGTAGAACCTTTTTCAATTTTTAGGGTTTCTTGTTGGTTATGGATTCTGTATCAGCAGATGTAGCCGAGGAATTTCATGTTGTTGGTATGAATGTATGATCAGGATTGACAGAAAGGATTGCAAACAGCATGTGGATGGAAGCGTTGGTCGAAGGATCGAAGGACGCGCTAAGTTTCTGTGTGTTTTTCTGTACGAAGGGGTCTATCTCTCTAACACCGCATGATCTTACTGTTACAGATACTATGACCTTCCAGAACATGCGAAGGAACTTCCTGATGGTCTTGATATTAGCAAATATGTTGGTGGTTCCATTGTGGTGTTCAACTTGGATACGAAGCAAGTGAAGTGGACTGTGGAGCTAGATCTGAGTACTGACTCAGTCTCGTATCGTGCTTACATTTATTCTTCTCCTACGGTTGTCGATGTGGACGAAGATGGGTTTTCAGAGATTGTCGTGGGGACATCCTTTGGCTTTCTCTATGTTCTCCAACACAATGGTATCTCCTCGTTGCACTTGAACTTTGAGTCAGGCTGCCTAGACATGGTTAGGTCATTTTCTGCTTACAATTGAAATGATGCTTAGTCATAAAGCCTGCACAGAACAAGAACCTTTTTCTTCATGGCACTATCAAGTTTGGGGTCCAGAGTAAAAGCAGTATCCTGACATGCTTTTTTTTTAAAGGAACTTTGAAGGAGCCATTTCCCTTACTTATGGGTGAAATCCAAGGACAAGTCGTTGCTGGCGACATTAATGACGATGGAAAGATTGAAATCGTCGGTGCTGATGTTCGTGGTAATGTTGCCGCTTTCACCGGTGATGGCAAGGAGCTTTGGACAGTACACTTGAAAAGCATCGTTGCTCAGGTGATTGTCAAGCTCCATCATGAATAACCTTTGCAATATTTGTTTAGTCATCCACTATTTCTATCGTTTCGTAAAGCCTTGTTGTGCGCATTCTAAGGTTTTTGCTAATGGACTAGTGCTTGATGTAGTTTTGAATAGTCTTCGTCATCAATTCTACCTCTTTTGGCTGGTTACCTACCTCATTTATTTATTTCATGGTATTTAAAATATAAATATTATTAAAAAGGTAATATATATATATATATATATATATATGCCTCTGCAGCCCTTTTATGTGTTTTAAATTTGCAACACCCATTTTCAAAACGTTCATTATTATTGTATCATTTTTCTTTTTGACCGTCATCAACTTTTGTCTACTTTATCTGAGACATACTGATGAGAATTCAATTGCGTCATGTAGGGGCCCACCATCGGAGATGTTGACGGGGATGGTCACACAGATGTCGTCGTCCCTACCGCATCCGGAAAAATCTTTGTCCTTAGGGGTTCAGATGGCGTTTTCGTCGCTCCATTTCCTTTTAGAACGCATGGGCGTGTTATGGCACCTGCACTCTTAGTGGATCTGAACAAGCGAAAAGCAGAAAGAAAAGGGCTGACCATCGCTGTCACATCATTTGATGGCTACTTTTACCTGATTGAAGGTAGTTCTGGCTGTGCTGAAGCTATCGACATTGGGGAAACCTCGTAAGTTTTCACTGCTAAAATCTAAGTTTTCTTCCTATACGTTGGCATATATTTGTCTGGTGTTAATGGCCAAGGTATAGCTCCTGATGATTTCTCATATTTGGGGGGATCAGCTGCTGAGGTGCCTCTGTGCTGGTGAGATAGAAGTGTTCAGATGCAAAGCAAGCATACCCTTGTGTAGTGATTTATTTGACCCCATTAAGAAGTAGTCTTCCACTCCTTTTGCCGTGCATATATTTACTGCTCTGTTTTGTTAAATTTTAGTTCTGTAGGATTATATTTTATTGTTACATTACATTTTTTACATCATTTTCGAGATTCGGTTAGTAGTGTAGGCTTGTACGTAGTGCTTTGGCAACCAATGGTAACCTCCGTCTACACTCGCAGGTATAGCATGGTGCTAGCAGACAATGTGGATGGAGGCGATGACTTGGATTTGATTGTCACAACCATGAATGGTAATGTTTATTGTTTCCAGACACCTGCTCCACATCACCCTCTCAAGGTACCTAAAATTTTATATACAATTCATTTATTGTTTTGAGAATTTTCAATTAGAGTTGCAGGTTAAAGTATATCTGGTAGCAGCTATATCTACATTCTTGGAAATTTTTGTGAATTGATCCCTACGTTCTCTTCTTTTCCTTCTCTGTTTTTGTTTTTTTTTTTTTTTTTTGTTTTGCCATGTGAATTCTATTCTTACTTGATTTTTTGAAGTTGAGATCTACTAAGAGATTGCAGAATTTAAGTATTGATAGACAGCTACTAAGACTTTCAATGTTTGGTTGATAAACTTTCAGATAGTGTTTGTGAATATTGCGTTGTTACTGACATGTATCATTCGAATTTATTTGTCCTGCTCTGTTTCATGTTATACGAGGATGTAGTGGTCAATTTTCTAATTTAGGATTATGATTGTGCCTAGGCATGGCCGTCGCAACTACAAGGGAGGAATGTAGTGGCAAGCAAGATTAATCGACAAGGCATTTATGTTCTTCCTAAGTCAAGAAGTTTTCGGGACGAGGCTGGAACTAACTTCTGGGTGGAATTTAAAATTGTTGATCAGCATCGACCTATGGCTGGCTCTCCCGGAATTTATAATGTAACGGTATGTGCCTAATTGAGCATGTGTTGTAAAGTTTTTAATGTCCCCGCCTCCCATCTTTTTTGTAGTTTTATTTGTGTGTTTTAAAGATCTTTTTCTCCCTTGCAATTGATTTACACAAATAAAATTGAAATTCCTCGAGCCACTTTACTGCTATTGAGGGTCCGCCACATCTATTTTTCATCTCTGAATAGTTTGTTGATTATCAACCTACATCCTTCTGTGAAATTTGCCTCTTGTTCCATCAAGCTGGACAATCAAAAGAAACTGGAAACGTTTCGCGTCCTGATGCAGCAGTGTGCACAAGATTGTTACTGAAGTATTAACTTTATAAATGTCGTCGGCTGGCTTTCCAGGTTACTCTTCTAGTTCCAGGCAACTACCAAGGACTCAAGCGATTGGTGCAAAACAAAATTTATACATCGCCTGGTGTATATCAGGTGAAGGTACCATGTGTGTCAGTGCGCACCACAGGAAGTGTGGTAGTGGAGATGGAGGACAAGAATGGTCTGTATTTCTCGGATGAGTTTGCACTTACGTTTCATATGCGATACTACCGTCTACTGAAGTGGCTTATTTGTCTTCCTTTTGTGGGCATGGTAAGCCTTCTTCTTGTCGTACAATCTCAAGAAGGCGCACCACTGCCATCCTTTTCTCACCAACTCTAATCTGAATATTTTTCCTCCCATCTTCGGGTGCTTTTTATTTAGTTAAAGACATACTTCTTGGTGGTGGAAAACAAAGATGGTAGCTTCAGTATCCTTAGACAAAATGTAAAATCCATGCTTGTCAGAAGTCCATTCATTCAGAGCAGTCTTGTTCCAATGAAATCACGTCTTAAGAAGTAGAATCTTGGCTTTTAAAACGCACATTTAAGAAGTAATTGCTGACCCTCTAGCCTTCGCTATGCTATGCAATGAGTTTGGTTTCTTTTGATATCCTTGCTTGTTACAATGATTTTAATCCAGTCATGACAAAGTTCAAAGACTGCACGTAATTTGTGTGTCAAATTCTAAGAGAACTATGAAGATGATTAAGAAATCTTTACAAGTTTGTTATAAATTAGATTTTATGGGTGGGATAAGAAGATTGAAAAAATGACTTTTTTAATCCTTTTGTACATGTCACTCACTGCGTTTCCAAGTAAAATACACTTTAAATGAATGTGCACTAGAACTATGAATAATTCATTCTTCACTACAGAGAGTTTAATTATATGATATCAATGTCCACAGTGTCAATGTATATTCATTATACCATGAAAATGGTATTTAATATTTCTAGAATTTGATTATGGGATCAACAAATTAATTTGATTTCATGCAACAATGTCATCAAGAACATTTTCAATATGCAAGATTGAATTTGAAATGTGACCATTTGCAATTACCTATTTCTAATGAAGAGGATATTTCAAGCCTAGTTATAGCAAAAAGTCACCAATGACAGTTTGAAAACACAAATAAATGATATTGTTTTATTTAATTTAGAGAAAGAATTATAAATTTGAAAAACATACGTGACCAAAACACAAAAGAAAAAGAACGATCCTAAGTTTTTTTTTTAGAGTTGAGTACATTATCATTAAAACTAAAAACAATTGAATAATGGCAGTTAACTATGGGATGAAAACTTTGTTTACATTTTGCTTGAATTAGTTAGTTTTTTATTTTAAAAAATCAATTCATAAATTTTAAAATTTTAATGTATAATTCTAAAAAATAATAATAATTGAAAATAAGATATCTATGTATGTCATAAAGTATGTTAATAATAAAATTAACATTTTTCATATGTTATTATAATATTTTGTTGATTTTCTATCTATTGGCATTTGTGTACTTGTTTTTGTTGAATCTTAATATTTTGTTCTTGAAAGATTATAATATGTTTCAAAACTAAAAGGTTTCTTTGTACTGAAGTGAATATTTTAATTCATAAAAAAAACATTCATGCATATATAATCTACTTTTTAAAAATTATTTTAAAGTATATTAGCTTATGTATTGAAGATTCTATGAATCAAAAAAAAAAAAAATTAAGTCTAATAATTTTATTTGTATATATATTTAAAATATAAATATGTAAAACTCTCTGACGGTTATTCCAAAACACAAGAATTGTAAGCTACCAAAGGTAAAAACTCAAAGAAACTTCAAAATATTATTGGCATAATGTCAATAACTATTTATTTTATTTTATTTTATTTTATTTTTTTGAAGAATCTAAATATTGACATAATCTGAACTTTCAAAAATATCAAATTTTAATGATGTTATTTATTCAAATTTTTATCTGTTATTTAATTAATTTTAAAAATATCACTTATTAATATATATTATCATATTTTATTTTAAAAACTAATAAGCTAAAGAATATATATATATATATATATATATATATATATATATAATGCTAATTAACTTATTTTTATTTAAATTTATTTCAAACTATTTACTAATAGCTATTTAATATTATACTTCTTGTATAAATATTTATTATTTATGGTTATTATTAATTTTAATACCAAATTTCATTAACATTCTCAAAAGAAAAGTATTTCGTTGAACAATGTGAATTTTTAGTTGTTATAAGAAATTAAAAAGATAGTAGTATAAAATTTTATATTTCTAATTCTAATTCTAATTAGTATCTACTTGTTTTAATAAGAATTCTAGTTTGTAGCTAAAGTTGAAATCATTTGTATTGATTTCTTACTATTACAATGGCTTCTAATTAATATATTTTAAGTAAAAGTACACCAATAATGGATGTCTAGGTGCATTTGAATCATTTATTTAATTGATTGTTTTGTAATAATTAAATATCTCTAAAATATTATAATATATCAATTAATATATTATCTTTAAAAATTAAGATACAACCTAATTAGTTATTCTATTTAATAAGAGGGATTGATTTATATGGCCTTTTCTTGGTTTGAAAGTTTTCAACTTGAATAATGATCACTCTACTTCTTGTATTTAATACAATTACATTAAATACTAAAAATTACATTATATGGCTAAATCACTTACTTTTTATTTGCATGCTATAATTGAATAGTATACCTAAACTTATTTGCCTTGTGTTACAAATATAACAAGCACTTGTAATTACTTAAATAAAAAGAATTAGGTAGAAATAAGCAAAAGTAAATGGAATTAATAATATCTTAAGACGAAGCTTTTTAGAAGCTTCATAGATGTTGATTTGATAATAAATTTATGACATGTTATACATATTGACTACTTCTAGTAGAATTTGGCCATGTGTCGCATATATAAGAAACTTATTTTGCAAGTTGGATATATGTCTTATAAATTGGACATATATTAAAGGTCCTATAGAACATAATCATGTAACTCTTAATAAGATAGTATACATGGAGACAAGACTATGGCCTTTCTCACTCTTATCAGTGCTTTTTTTGTTCTTAGTTTTGTTCAAGTGTCCATAATTTTTTTTATTTTTGGCAATAGCCATTTTAATTTTAATATTATATTAACTTTGAGTGATTTTCTATTTTTTCTAATGACACAAGAATATATTGAATAATACTAATTTTCTATTCTTATTTTGTTTTAGAAGTGAATAAATTATCTTACTTCCCTATTTGTATTTTAAAAAATGTAGATTATCCACTTTTAAAATAATATTTTTATTTTCTACCTTTGATTCTTTCTTTAAAGAAAGTAGACTATTCTTCTTTATAGATATTTTTAATTGATATTACAGATTGTGGATAATCCTCGTCTAATTTAATTGATAGATATATTAAAGTTGTCTATTATAGAGATGAAAGTAAAAATTATGAATGTTATATTTGATAGAAGTGAGAATAGATTTATAATTAATGCACATCTTTACAAACTTGTCTATATTTTTAGAGTGAAAATTTTATATATTACCAATGTCAACTATGGATGTATTATTCTTGTACCTAAGGAAGAAATAAATAATAAAGTCCGATATCTACACCAAGAAATTGTGCAATTGAGAGAAACAAGTTGATGAACTTCATAAATCTAAAAAGTCTTGTTACTACAAGTATGAAAAAGGCAAAGATTAGTATATCAAAAAAATTTGATAGAAGAAGATAAAAAAAATTTAAGACAATAACAAGTCAAGTTCTATGTAAGATTATATCTTTACCTATATCTTCATGGATTTACTCAAGTTAAATTTAGAAATAAATTCCTATCTAGAAGTGATTTTTCTTAATTAATCATTTTGATAAAAAAAATATTCATTACTCTTATATGATTTAAATTCATTCTTGGAGGTATTTATGGCCACATTTGAAGAAAGTAATTGAAAAAAGATAGCAGAGACAAAACTCTTACATTTCCAACAAACATCACAATCAATTACTATATATGTTATTGAATTTTAAAATATTGCTTGTAACATAGATTAGAATGATAAAGCTCTTATTAATCAATTATTATATGGATTAAAAGATAATGTCAAAGATTTATTATTGAGAATGTTGAAAGCAAATTTATTAAAATAATTTATTGCTCAGGACATTGCATGCAACAATCAATTTTATGAAAGCTGCAAAGAACAAAGATTTGAGTGAAGAAGAACAAGTTAAGTCATGAAAAAAATTCCCAAGTTTTTAGAAACTTATTCATCAATGCTAAAACCTATGCAAATTGATATGATATATTTTAAATCTTTTATTAAGGGGAAAAAAAAAATAAAAATAAAAATAAAATAATATTGTAAAGACAGATTGTAGTCAGCATTGTATTCAATATATTCTAAAGAAGCAATGCAACCACAAAATAAAAAGCATGGTTGCCAAATTAGACAATATATCAAAAAATAAGTTTATCTATATATAATAAAAAACATGTAGCTTGAAACTTATGCAACACCTAATAAAGATTTTATTCTATTATTATATCCTTCATCTTTCTTTACAATAGATGTTTATTTAAAAACCAAAAACTTATAAATTTTCAACCTTGTTAGATTCAAGAGCCTCAAATCTCATTTTGTAGACATAAACTTTGTTAAAAAATAAAAAAATGTACATATAAAAAAAACTAAGTCAATGCATGTAGAAGTCATGGGTAGATATCATTTGTCTTTTGGAAATGTCACCTACAAAATACTTCTTATTGCTATTGTAATACATGATTATATAAATTTAATAATATTTAATGCTATTAGATTTCTTTTTAATTTAGTTATTATAGGTTTTTTTTTATAACTAGAGAAGTATAATCCTTAAATAGACTAGATTTTATATAATCTTGATTTTTTGATAATATAACTTGGATTTTTATTAGTCAAGTAGAAAATTATAAGTCTACTACAACCAAATCCTTATTAAAAAGTACAATTAAAAAGTTCAATTTTCTTTTTATGCATGTTGTAAAAAAAGAATCACCTTTACTATTTATATAACATCTATTTTTTGATAAATGGAAGATTTTATGAGATATTTTGATCTAGTAAAAAGATTTTATAGTTTTCTTTAATATATATATATATATATATATATATATATATTTATTTATTATTTTAAAGTATTTTTCTTATAATTATCCATTTGATCTTTAAGAAGATCTCAATTTTTATTTTGATCAATCTATATTTTTTTATAAAATAAATTGGCTACACTCAAAGAATTTATTAATAAAAAATTAGTCAAGAACTTCATTTTTCATTCAAAATCTCCAATAAAAGCTCCTATTATATTTGTAAAGAAAAAAATAAGCATTACAACTAATATGTATAGATTATTGAAGGTTCAATGAGATCATTATCAAGAATAGATATTATTTGCTTTTAATATTAATACTTCTTGATCAATTGAATTAAGCCAAGATCTATACAAAAATAAATCTATAAGAAGTATATAATTTAGTCCATATTAAAAAATAAGATGATTAA